AACCTAATTTTTTCCCTCTTAGATAAACAATTTTACTTTTTTTTACCACTTTTGACCGTTAGACTCATTATCATGTTTTCTTTTAACCTAGTTTATAATATTTACCCATTTGATTATTTTAATATAAAAATTAATTCAAATTGATTTTCTTTTCTAAATTAATCTGTCGAAATTAACACCTTTAATCAATGCTTTTAATTGTCTAGAAAAGTGGTAAAATTTCTTTTTATTTGGTACTTTTTTTAATTGAAACTGTTTATTTTTATTAAAAATTAATCGCGTGAATTAATAGTCTGATTAAGGGGCCGTTTACCAAACGCTTAATTAAGCAATCTCTTACAAAGTCACATTACCTTATGAGATGAATATAGTAAGGACCAACAATATTACCTAGAAAAGAGAAACAAAACCAAAAATCTTATTCGGTAAGTAAGAGCGACAACTCTTACCATGGTAAGCGTTTACTGGGTAAATTGTTTCATACGATGCCGTTTTGTTGGACTAAAACCTTACACGGTAAGTAAATAATAGTGTTAAATATTACTGGTAAGCGCTTACCAGATAAATGTTTGTACACGGCCCCTAAGTTTTATTTTAGAGTAAACTACAAATTTGGTTTACGTGGTTTGTCGGAAATAACATTATTCGGCTTTACAATTACAAAATCACAATACAGCCATCGTGCATTATAAAAACGTTTAGATTTGGTCTCTTACTATAACATGCATTAGAAAACTCCGTTAAATGTGGACCATTTTCGTTATTTTATCCATTTTTATGAGTTTTATCGAGCAAATTCAATTTTATGATTTTGGTCTCTATGGTTTTTGATTAGGTAAAAGACAAAAACTCAATAAAATGACTAAAATGTCCCTTATTTAGCAATTTTACTAAAATAATAAATCAAATCCCGACGTTTTTGCAAACCACGATATTCATCTTATTTGAACTGTAAGGACGAAAAATATTATTTTTACAAACCACAAGTACGTAATTTGTAGTTTACTCTTTATTTTATTAAAAATCATTAATTAATTAATTAAAAAAAACAGTTGGATGCATGATGAACACATTACACATCGTGGTGCTTGGTCATATTATATATATATATATATATATATATATATATATATATATATATATATATATATATATATATATATATATA